TCTTGCATAGGATCAATGCAGCCAAAATTAAAGTGATTTTATTAGCATAGGAAATGCTATAATGAATGGTTGGAAGTTTTTTCCTTCTTTAGCAAGTTGTGTAATAAAATTTAGGCTTGTATTCAATATTTAGTTAATGTCTCCAAAGAAAATACTGACCTTGGCCTTGTTGTATTGTTGTTAGGTGCTGTTGACTGTAACACATAGGAACCCTTTGAACAACAGATACGAACCTGGTTCTATCCTGCATCATCCTGCCAGTCTCTGATATGCTTGAGCCTGTGTTATATTCCCGGTACTAGTCCATCTTATTAAGGGTCTTCCTCTCTTTCCGTGACCCTCCATCTTTCCCAGCATAATATCTTTTTCCAAAGATTGACAGTTCAACAATTAAGAAATCTAAAGATGTGTTACATTGGGAAAACCTGCTGTCAGGGACCACTACAAAGTACTCAAGAGTCAAGGATTTAAGTTTAAAGAATAAAGTGGACCTGATCCAAACTAGGGCCTTTTTAATTACTTGGTGTGCATCTGAAAGTTGGACGGTGACTAGGGATGACAGAAGAATTATTGATGCTGTACCACAACAAGATAAAGGTAAAAAAACCCAGCTGAAAAATGGGCACAGGCTATGCACAGACACTTTACCAAAGAAGACACTCAGATGGCAAACAGACACATGAAGAAATGTTCAAAATCCCTAGCTCTAAGAGAGATGCAAATCTAAACACCTATGAGATATCATCTCACCCCAGTAAGAATAGCAAAATTTAACAGAACAGCGAACAAACTTGAGGGGAGGGATTGTATAATAATGAAAGAATTTTTCTTTTACTTTTCAAAGAGAAGAGCAAACTGGGGGAGGGGGTGGACAGGGAGAAAAGTGTAACAATGAATGAATGGGAATCCAAAGTCTCTAAATTTTCGTTAAAATTAATAATAATTTAAAAAAGACAAAAAATATGCTTATAACAATAAAAAAAAGAATTGATGCTTTTGAGTTGTGGTGTTGGAGATTGTTGTTGTTGTTGTTATGTGCCGTCGAGTCGTTTTCGACTCATAGTGACCCTATGCACAACAGCCCTAAACCCTGCTCTGTCCTGCGCCAAACGCACCGCCTCTGACACACCCATCCCGATTACTCCAGTCACCGAATCAATCCATCTCATAAAGGGTCTTCCCCTCCTGCGTTGTCCCTCAACCCTCCCAAGCATGATGTCCCTCTCCAAGGACCCGTC